GTATTGGTATTGGGGATTCAAATAATATGTTGTTCAAAGAAACACATACTCTAATAAGAGAAATAATACTTATGCAACTAAAGAAATGAATTTCAAATTATGACATAATTTATACCTGCTATATGCAAATCGTGGTATAATGTTTTATAGCATCGGTCTTCAATTATCTTTATGACCCACCTTGCACCATGTTTTCTTTTCAATTCATCCTTCACTACACGCATCAACTCATATACTGCCCTCATAGTAGGATACACTTCTGTGTCAACGATCCGTAAAACTTTGTAAAAAGGTTCAAACACTTGGCACACATATTCTGATTGAGTACAAAAAGCATGATCAAGCACTATACTTTCTTCTTAAGTAGGCTGTCTAATGCAATATAGTTAGTGGCGAATCGAGTGGTAGCTGGACGAATAATTTCTCCTTTGCAAAATTCACGCATCTTTGCCAACAACCAACCGTGATTGTAAATATAATTTGTGATCTTTCTAGCTCTTTTTACCACAGTAGCAACATTCTCTCTCTTCCCCATTGCCTCAAACATGAGATCAATACAATGTGCTGCACCAGGGCCGGCGCTGAGGAGGTGCAAGTGGTGCTACCGTACAGGGCCCCAAAATCGGAAGGGCCCCCGATTTTTCAATTTTGCATGCATATACGTATATATAGTAATAAGTGTAGAATATTACCAACTTGAGTTTTAGCGCAAGTGGAATTATTGCTTCTTTACGTTGGCCTAGGAGATGGGTTCAAAACTCATCTCCATTATTTTTTCAGTTTATATTTTTATTAAATGCATAAGCTTCCACAAAATAATATAAAATTCCACACAATAACATGAAAATTTGAACCCTGACCCTCTAAATAGTTAAGGAAAAACAATACACCATCTTTTCACTTGTTGATTTGTTAAATTTGTTTGTGCTAATAGAATTTATAGAAGCTCAATTGAAAACTAAAATTATTACTTTGAACAAAAAAATAAAAAAAATAAAAAGTCTTAGTACTTTTTAGGGCCTCCAATTCACTTTCGCACGGGACCCCTGAAATCTCAGGGCCGGCTTTGTGCTGCACATGATGTCCAAAACACATTATGATGATTCATTAACTTTTTTCCAGCTTTGACAAATGCAGAACCGTTGTCGGTCACGACTTGGACAACATTATGCTCTCCCACCTCCATGATTACATCCCTTAATAATTTGTAAATATACTTGTAGTTCTTTATATGGTCTGAAGCATCAACAGACTTAAAAAAAATTGTCTTTCCCTTGGAGTATACTATGAAGTTTATGATAGACAATCCGGTCGGGTCATTCCATCTGTCACACATGATTGTGCAACCATTAGTTTCCCACTTTGACCTCAACTTGTTAACATACTCGCCAATGTCCTTATACTGCATATCCAAATATTTGTTTCTTATCTCATAAGGAGTGGGAGGTTGTACTCCAACACAGGCCTGTTGACATCCCACTACCATATTTTTGAAATGATGTGATGATGCCTTTGCAGCAGGGACATTTTCATAGATAAAGAACTTGCTAATTAGACGCCCCATTCCTTCCTTCACATTACCTCCAGTGAAATAACTCCAAACACTCTTTTGACGTGCTTTGGATGACTTATATAAACTTGGGGCTATTGGTGGTGTTGGTTATGATTCTCTAAGACTGCCTCCCCGTCTCATTTATGTACCACCACTTGTCCCAGAACCTTGTGCTCTATTAGGAATTTTATGAAGGTGTTCTCTTTCCCATGCTGACTGTTTGGAGGCATGTAATGCTTGTTTCAAACTGCGTCGTTCTTCAGGTCCCATGTCATCATCACATTCGTCCTCATCGTCATCATCATCACTGTCAACCACTTGGCCAATGACTTCTCCTCGTAGCCCAGCTCGAATATTTTCCATTCCATGTGTTATCTTTTCCTTCTGCTGTTTTTTATTTTTTAATAATGTGCTGATGAATGCCTTCACTTCTGGGGGGACATTATCACATCGTTGGACATTTTTTGCTGGATCTAATCCACTAAGATGGTACTTAAGTCGTGTCACTCCGCCACTCTTCATTACCCAACCACAATATTTGCAAATTGTGCCATGTTTGTTTCCGTCTATTGGGTCTCCATGTTCCCAAGCTGGATCACGTTTAGTAGCTCCACTGGACATCTTAAACGTACCTACATTTATTTTTCATGAAAATTAGACAAATATTTTTTGGCCAAAAAATATAGTAGTGATGATGGTTATATAAGAGAGAACCTAAATAATAAAGTTATTCTACAGAAGAATTAAATACGAAGTAAAGAAAATGATTGTAAAAATTTACAGAAGAATTAAATACGAAGTAAAGAAAATGATTGTAAAAATTTAAGTAATTAAAAAAATAATATGGAATAATAAAACCTAATATTAATGAATAATAATCCAATTTGATAAAAAAATAATTCTAATATAAAACATAGTGATGAATAATAATCCAATTTGATAATAATTCAATTTAATAATAATCCAATTTAATGAATAGTCCAATTTGATAATAAGCCAATTTAATGAATAATAATCCAATTTGATAATAATCTAATTTAATGAATAATAATCCAATTTGATAATAAAAAAAACCTAATATTAATGAATAATAATCCAATTTGATAAAAAATAATCCTAATATAAAACATAGTGGTGAATAATAATCCAATTTGATAATAATCCAATTCAATAATAATCCAATTTAATGAATAGTCCAATTTGATAATAAGCCAATTTAATGAATAATCCAATTTAATGAATAATAATCCAATTTGATAATAATCTAATTTAATGAATAATAATCCAATTTGATAATAAAAAAAACCTAATATTAATGAATAATAATCCAATTTGATAAAAAAATAATCCTAATATAAAACATAGTGATGAATAATAATCCAATTTGATAATAATCCAATTTAATAATAATCCAATTTAATGAATAGTCCAATTTGATAATAAGCCAATTTAATGAATAATCCAATTTAATGAATAATAATCCAATTTGATAATAATCTAATTTAATGAATAATAATCCAATTTGATAATAAAAAAAACCTAATATTAATGAATAATAATCCAATTTGATAATAAAACCTAATATTAATAAAATAATAAATAACATTAAACATATTAAAATTATCCTAGGGAATAATTATACAACATTACTTAATTACTTAAAAAAATTAACATGTAATTGTTAACATTACTTAATTACTTACAAAAATTAACATGCAAGTATTAATTACTTAAAAAAATTAACAAACAAGTCCATATAAATTTATTTGTTGTTGTATAAATTACAATAATATAAATATAAGTTTGTAAACTTACCTTAAATATGGAACCCTTTGTGTTCAAGCTTTGGAATGGATCTGGAATGGCTTTGAAAATGGTAAGGGAAGAAGAAGGAACGAAAATGCTCTGAATGCCTCTGATACTCCACCTCTGATAAGGTGAAAGAATATAAGTATATAACAGACAGTGGCACATGGTTTTGCATGTGAAAGAATATCATAGACTTAGAGTAGCACACGGTTTCATTATTAAAGCACTATTATTTGTTGTCCATGGTTTGAAATTGTAAAAAGTGATTGTAAAATCAGTCAAGTGAGTCAGATGAGATGACCCAACCACACACACACACACACAGACATGCCATCACACACGCACACAACACACGCACACAGACCTCACACGCATACGTCTCTCTCTCTCGAATCTCGATCATTCTCTCTTCTTCTTTGAACTCTCTTCTCCCCCTTCTCCATTCTCCTACACACACAGATCTCTCACTCTCTCGATCCTTCTCCCACACACACGCACACAGACCCACATCGCCTTCTGCTCCTCAGTCCGACAATCTCGAATCCCTCTTCCTTTTCAGAAACTAGCTTTCTGGGTCAATTCCTCCTAAGCTCAGCAACATCGGAGCTCTCCAAAGCTTGGATCTTTCCGACAATCTGATTTCTGGGTGGATCCCAGAAACCTTTTCGGAGCTGAAAAACCTTAGACTCCTCAGTCTTTTCTACAACGAGATGAGCGGCGAAGTTTCCAACTGAATTGCAGAGCTTCTGTCTTTGGAGACGCTGCTTTTATGGAACAATTTATTCTCCGGCAACCTTCCCCGGAGCTTGGGGAGGAACTCGAAGCTCGGATGGGTGGACGTCTCCACAAACAACTTAAACGGCAGCGTTCCGCCGGATATCTGTGCGAATGGTCAGCTCCTTAAGCTGATGCTGTTTTCGAACAATTTCTCCGGCGATCTCTCCACTTCTCTGTCAAACTGTTCGTCTCTGGTTCGTCTTCGACCCGAAGATAACAAGTTTTCAAGTGAGATTTCATTGAAATTCAGCATTCTTACATGCGTGAAATTTGAACCTTATATGTGAAATTTAAGTTCGAAATCGTGTTTTTGCAAGGTTTTTGGGATGAAATCGGCTCGGGAATAGGCACACCATCTCCGGCGAGGCCGTGGGTGGTCGACGAACTTTCCGATTGCACAGTTCAAAAAATATCGCGATATTTTGACGAAAACCATTTCGATACCTATTTAAATATCCATTGCGCGAAAAACCGATAATATCGGCATTTTCTTCCATGACTACGACTATCAATACCGAATTTCCAAAGACAAAAGAAGGAACATAAACAGAGTGACCAAGAAGAACAAGGGACACAGACAGAAGCAGAAGCCAACGCGTAATCGAGACCAAAACTAAACCAAAAGAACAAAAACTGACAAAACAAACTGATACCATACAAGAGCAAATAGAATCCGCTCTGATACCAAATTGAATATCAGAGTGCGCAACGAACAAGATTAACAATAAAATAAGAATATTATTAAACAACCGAGAATGCCGGAACGGCTACAAAACCTTACGAGACTACATTGTGAATAACTTGATCCTCAAACTAAATTACAAGCTCTATTTATAGAGCAATAAACCTAAGAAACCCTAATGCTTAAATACCAAAAATACCCAACTACAAAATCAAATCAAATCTCTAATTAATTTCCTAAATAAACCAAATAAATTTCAACAGTCTAATATCTTCTAATCCCTCAAATGAAAACCACTCACCTCTACAGACCTCGACTTTAATGAGTTATCAAATCCAATCTTAGACACCAATCAGTCCTAACAACAGAAGATTAGTATAACTTCACAGAAAACAACTACACCAGCAAATCAATATATCTTCACAAATCAAAAGCAGATATATATATATAATAACTATCAACATAAAAACAAGAGAGTAGAGTACAGAATTAGAAGCCTTTGGTTTCCATCAGAAACACAAAAGATGCCCCAAATTTAAGATAGAAGAAAATGCTTAAACACAATTTCGACACGAAAACAGAGATCTTTGCATCTCTTGTTCTTCACCATTCAGCTACAAATTGGGCAAAGCACCAGCCCATTCTCATTACACTCAGGACACCTCGTCACCACCGTCGTCCCCTGCCGCTGCCCCGCCACATCATCATTCACCATCAGCACCATCTTTGAACTCCCATTGCACTGGAAGCAGGGCAAGAACCTTGCCTCCCCACACCCTTCACACACAGACCCAGCTTTTTTCTTTGGACACCCAGCAAGAATCTCACCCAGCAAACCCTCCTCCAAAATCTTCAGCACCTCCTCAGAGCCGCCTATATATCTCCCCTTCACAAACACCCGCGGCGGCACCGCCGCCTCCTTCCCTTTCCCCTTCATCAAGTCGCTCAACTCTTCTCTGAACCCGCGATCCATCGACACGTCACGCTCGACAATCATCACCCCGAGGCCTTCTATCTCTGCCCGGACGGCGTTGCACTCCTCAAAAGTCCGCCGCACTCCTCGCAGCGTCGTCGTGTAGACAACCACTTTGTTTTCTCCGCCCGGCGGGCATATTTTCTCGAACCGGTCAAGTGGGTCCTTCTTGTTGTTCACCCGGAAGACGCTTTCGTACGGAGATTTGAGAATTGTGCGATTCGGGTTGGAGTTTTCTTTATCGGGGGTTTTTGGGTCTAAGAAACCGAAGGGTTTGGGCGGCGGAAGCGGCGAGAATCTGAAGCTGTCGGCGTCAAGCCCGTCCATAAGCTCCCATGAGTTAATGACTTCCGGGTCGGAAGGCAGCGGTCTCGGGTCGGACAAGAGCGACTTGGGTTCGGACTCGAGCGACTTGGGCTGGGACAAGGGGCTCGGGAAAATGGACCCGAGAGTGAATCGAGAAGGGGGTGTCGACGGAGTGGTGGGCGCAGGAGGCGGCGGGTCGAGAGTGAGGAGGCCGTAGGTGGAGGAAGTCAGCGAGACGATGTGGTGGCTCAGCGCGGAGCTGCCGAGTTGGGAGAACTCGTCGTTGTGGTTGAAGATATTAGAAGAAGCACAACCCATGTTCTCGTTTCCGGAATTGCGAGCTTCGATTGCGAACTGTGAAGTGGCGGAGGAGTGAGACTTATGTTGGAGTCGAATTTAATGCTTTTTTTTTCTAAATTTGGAAGGAATTGAAGAACCTTTTTATATAATTTTGAAATGGGGATTCTGTAGCACATGAGATTTGAGCGCTAAAATTTGATTCAAATATATTGTGCGTGTGGGTGTTACGAAGACGAAGAGCGGTGCCGGCCAATTATTGCGTTACAGCGTTAGGAGGACTGCGTTTCCTTTCCTTTACTTTCCTTTCCTTTCCTTTCCAGTCAAAAGGTATTTGGTTTCCACAACTTTAGAGTTTAGACAATGGGCCTTCTGGTTTCTAATAATCCAATTTGTACAGTCCACCACCACTTCTGTTTACATGAATCGGTCCAAAGGCTCATTGTCCCTCTTCATAGGCCTTGTTCATCAGATGCGGCGTTGAGGGGGAATGAAAAGTGCAATCGCATAGAGCCTCTAAAACTTTTTTGGTTTCTTATATTTATATGTAATAATATTATATATTACAAATACTTTTATTAGCACTTTAAAATCTTATAGTGTACTTTTTATAAGTGTAAATTTTGTTTTCTTTCTAAATAAAAAAAAAATTAGAGTGCACAATGAGAGAGTAGAAGAGCCAATAACAACACCTTAAAAAACGATTTTCTTTTCAATTTTATTGTATAATAATGCTATATATTCAAGTGAAACTTTAAAGTTAGAGTTTTTTAAGCTTTTTTTCTTTTTTTATTTGGTTGCTTAAGATTGAACTGTTTTTTATTATTTAGTGAAGATTATATTTGTAACACTTTTTACTTATTTCATGATATTTGTAAACTTACCGTGAGTCCTAAAGATTGTTTTGATTTATGTTATTATTTTCTAGTACCAATATATTGTCCTACTTTAAAAAAATAAAAACTATCTTAAAAATGGGCCCCTTTATAAATTTCGCACATAGCCTCCGAAATCTCAGAGACGGTCATGCTGTTCATCTAACGGGTCATTTGCCCACGTCCGAGTCACTGTCATCAGTTGACGGATATGGCATTGTTGACACTTGATAGTGTACGTGAGTGACATTGTTAGTATTCTAACATGTTATGTTATGTTGTTCAATATCGAATTTAGACGAAAACCAGAGCTTGAATGATTTAGAATCTCAATGATAATAGTGCACCGATTATCAAATTATTGTTTTAACACCCTCAACAAAATTGTTGAAGAGAGAAAAACCTTCTCTTTGATGGTTTTGCAGATTTTGATCATTCTCTCTGTTTCTGGATTTTATTTATTTCAAGTGTCCCTTCTTAACTGTGCGAATCTTACAAACCGATGACTTTTCTAAGTCGAGCTTGGTCTTGTTCTATAGTTAGTTAACTTCTCAACATGATTAACTTTATAATTAAGTTTGTAATTGAATAACTAATCAATCCTCCGAATCATGCAAGAAGGGTTGTTGTCTAAATAATTAAGCTTGACTTAAAATTCAATACAGCCAACAAAGTCCATTATTAATTTTCTACTAAGTAAAGTAGCATATAATTATTAGGGAAGGAAATTAGTATACGTGAACAGCAGTAGTCGGCAGTACCCACATTCAGCGGACGTAAATAGCTTCTTTTTTTCTTAAACAGTCATTTTTTGAAATTAAGAAAATTAATTTGGATTATATTATTTGGATTCAGCGTCAAATCTACAGTCTACAATACTGTTTTGAGATTTCAACGATAAAATTATCGTCCCAAATTGCAAACTTGGTATTTTCTGTAGAAACCTAATGATTACATATATGGATTGATGATACAAGTCTTTAGTAATATAATTTTAACATACACTTGCAGAAAAATATCAGTTACGTAATCTGAGAATTTTTATTCGTTTTTGGACAAAGGTGAATAATATTACCAAGCTCACAAACAAGAAGATCTGAAACAAAGAAAACCAAGCAGACTGCTACCTCTGCCACCGCCGCACTTCCAGCAGACACTGGGGGGCAAACCCTCGAACCTGCACCGCCTGCAGACGCTGGATATGAAACCAGATAAAGCCCCATAATCGGAAAGAGAGAAGACTCCATGTTCCTTCAACAAGCACCACAACGATCGGATCTGCAGCCATGAACGAAAAGAAGCCAATGGGAATATGCAGCCCACTACCAACAGTGCCGAAAACAGCAAAGATAGGGAAGGTCGTGGTGTGAACATCCGATCCGAAACTCTACGCAGCTTTCGATATGACCGCAACAAACTCATATATTGTTGTGTTTATTTTGTTTTCCGTGTTATTGGTGAAAGTTAAGATTCTACCATAAAATCAATTGGTGATATGGAAAGTACTTAACTATTTATAAACATGTGCAAGGTCCCTTCCTCTTATCAATGTGAAATTCATTCTCAATACGCCATCTCATATGTAGGAAATTTTCAAGCTTAATACGTGAACAACACAATTCGGATGGCATGAAGCACGTGTGGTCATTAGGCTTCACACGTGAGACCTTGTAGAAAGTTGAAGTTCTACTATAAAACCAATTGGTTATATGAGAAGAAACCCAACTACTTATAAGCACACGCAAGCACGTCATTCACGTGTGACGAATTTTCAAGCCTAACACATGGATAACACAATTTGAATGAATATTGCATTGGTGCCTTTCCTGCCGTAGAGGGCTCTATTGGTACAATGGCTACCAATATTGCATTGGTGCCTTTCCTGCAGTGCCACCCTAATTCATATCGGTGTCAAAGTTGCAAAATAATATTAACAAAAAGGATGCCCTGTGTGTGGGCATCCAAATTGGAGTATCACATTTCTTTTTCTATTTTTGGTGAGAAAACAAATTGTTATATCATTAAAATATAAGAATGCAACTATAAATTTGCATAACTGATATTTTATACAATTTTGTACAAATGTTGGGACCAAACTTTAAAAAGTCCTCGAACCCTTTGTTTCCAAGAGCTTAATCATCTCAATAATTGAATTGCTCATCTAGTGCAATAACTCTTTACGTTCAGCGGTCTCTCTCTTTCCACCTTGTATTGCTCAAACAGGCTCATCTTCTCAGCCACCTGATGGGTGCACACACATAAAAACCAAATTCAGAAAGGCAATTCGTTGTCACGTGACCAAACATACCAACACTTACATACATCTGTTATCTCCAAAGCGACATATTTAAGAAGAGCAACTTCATGAAGTTGTCCTTACAGATATCTCACAGTTGTTCATTTCATGTTAAGATTGTCATTCCATGTTACGATGTAAACATAAACGTTTACACTACAAAATTTGTCCCCACAAGTAATTTACATGTTAGGATGATGTCACAAAGTTAATTCTACAAAATCGAGTCAAAACTTATTTCCCAAATGCTACCTGAAAACAATTTTTTCAAAGAGTTTAAGCTGAGAGTGATTGAAAATATAGAGACAAAGCGCATATTCTTAAGTATGAAGTATTCAAAATCAACTGATGGTCAAACTCTGCTCGCTCTATTGCCCGCATGTCACTGTGGAGCTTCAGGTCTGTTGGTATTGTTATTTCTTTTACTGGAGGTTTCAATAAGCACTGAGATGACAAACCCATCAAAATTTTCAAAACAATAAGAAAAACCCATCAAAACCCAATAGAACAATAGAACAAAAGGATGTAGAGATAAAAATCAAAACCCAATAGAACAATCGAAGAAAACAATAAGAAAAACCCATCAAAATTTTTCAAAAAAATAATTTTAAAAACAGGGGAATAATACAAATCCTTGGACGAAGGCGCAAATATGGCCCTGAAAATCCCAGAAGAAGCAGAAGACTCCTTTGACCTGAAAAGCTCAGAGGTAAAGGAAGAAGAAGACGACCCAGTTTTCTTTCTTCCCTCCCTTGCTCTCTCCCTATTATAAACCTAAACCTCTCTCTGTAATAGATATTAGCAGAGTACTAGGTGTATATATATTGACAACTAGTCTGCAATGCAATACCTTAGTAACTTTGTGAACTTTCACAAGCTGCATATGAAGAGATACCACTCCCGAAGCCACCATTGTATACTTGGATAAACTGCAGGCCTAAAAGAAGAAAGGTACAAACCCAGTCAGCTTTGACGAAGAAGATTAATGCGATTCGAAGAAAGGTATAAACCCAGTAAGCATTGATGAAGAAGATTAATGTGATTCGTAATACATATATTTGCAAAACAGCGACCTTTAACTTTATTCTAATACGTCAAGCTACACAACACTAAAAAGAAAATTTTCTATTACAAACTTGAGAATATAGGACCATCCTAGGAAACAGTGGCGTTTAGTGATGAAGTCTAGGCATAAGAGAAAACTCTACATTCGATTAAAAACTATGTCAAGATATCTGAAAAGTTTTACCTTGTAGCAGTAGTCCAGTAGGAAAACAACAAACCTTCCACAAGAAGAATTTCGCCCTCGTCAATGTTATCAGCATTGGTTGATTTGAATAAAGATGATAGTCCATCCAAGAACCTGCTTGCTGTTTCCGAGTCTTTATTCATTTGACACAATCACTAGATTCACTACACACACTTTACTTATGCGGCTCTTTTACTAATCCCGAATCGAAACGGGAAAAATTGAAATACAGAAAGAGCTGCATTTTTTCAGAAATTTCAAACCCAACTCGCATCCCTCAAACCCTAAACCCTAAATCCCAACCTCAAATTCTAAATCATAAACCTAAAAACTGAAATTTCAAAGTAGAAATTCGATTTCACAATCGAAATCAGAATAAAAACAAAGAACAAAAAGAATCAAAACCAAATGCAGAGAAATTGATTGAAAAAAGAGAAATACAAAGCACATACCTGAAAATCAGAGTTCGAGAATGTTCCAGCCGCTTTTAGAGAGAGACCCCTGCAGAGAGAAAGAAATCAGTGAGATGAAGAGAGAAAATCTTCGAGAAAGAATTCGACAAAGGTAAGAGAGTGCAGAATAACCAAAGATTTTTCTATCCCCAATCTTCGTGTTAGGTCAGAGAGAAGAGATAGTGAGGAGCGAGGCGTAGAGGGTTAGAGAGTGGGTGAAAGAGGGAGACGAATGAGAGGTGGCAGACGTTGCCGGTGGCAAACCACCAGTTGGCTGGCCGTCGGGGTCGATAGGAAGCTGGAGGCTGGGTTAGGGAGGAGGAGACGGGTTGAGAGCAGGGAGGAGAGAGAGAGAGACAGAGAGAATGGCTGGTTGAAAATTAGGGTTGAGGTAAATTTGTCTAGTAAAATTTAGCAACAGTGCATACACTTCGATGTAGAAAATTACAAGTTGCCACCAAAATAATATAAAATATGTAAAAATCCAGTTGAAAAATTATAATTTGGATATCCACACCGTTTTTCCGTGTGCGCTTACCAATGGCCACGGATTATATATGTCAGTGCATACAAAGTGAGAAGGCACCGATTTTTTCTAGTGGGTAAATATCGGTGTCCTATAGATAGAATTCTAGTAGTGCTTATTTCTTGTAGAAATCTTCCACATATACTGACTTTATGAATCGGTTACGCAACCAATCAAATGAGATGCATACCTTGGTTCAAACCTCCCAATCAAGAGGATACCTTTTCATTTAAATCACAACACTAAATAAAAGATGGTTAACCACCTCGTTTTAGTTAACAAATCTTCAAATTTTTAACTTAACAACACACGCAATCCGTCTCCAGTTGTTGAGAGTGAACCCCACATCAGGGGAAAAAAATCAGAGACATTGCATATGCTTATAAGGGTTGAGCTACCCTCCATATTACCAATTAGTTTTTTAGTGGAACCTCAACTTTTTTCATGGTACCAGAGCAAAGTTGTTCCATGTGTAGAGCCCAACAGCCACACAACTCCGTTTGTATTGTCTACGTGTTAGACTTAAAAATTTGTCACACGTGAGAGGGCGTGTTGAGAACGAATCTCATCGTGGAAAGGAAGGACCTTGCATGTGCTTATAAGAGGTTGGACCACTCCCTACATTGCCAAATAATTTAATGATGGAACCTCAACTTTCTTCACTACGATAGCCAATCAGCTATCGCCCTGAAACTCGTTTAGCTTTGAGAGTTTGAGCGACGTCTTTGCATTTGTTTGCTTCTAAAATCTAGGGTTAATAAAGTTTACCACAAGTCAGTGACTTACCTAGAAAGAGTCGTGTGCATGTCCAATCACCATCGCCCATTGAAAGATGCATGAAAGAAATCATCCTAAGAGCAACTCCACCAGAGCTGATAGCCCGATGGAATGGCTATCAAACAGTGCCAAAACGCCCGAGCAAGAAGGTCCAGCCCAAGCTGGCAATTGAGCCCAAAGGGGCCAGAGCGAGAAGCCCGTGGGGAGTCGCTGGCCTGAGAGCCCTGAGTGGGTATGATGCAAGGCTGATGTCAGGGCGACGTCAGCTCATCCCCATCAACTTTTTGCGTCTTCTTCCTCCTCACCTTCGATTTGTAGATGTCCCAAGCCTCCATTTTACCATCCTCAGCTTTCAAACCCGTTTCTCACAAACCCTAAAACAATCAAATCCAAATACTATTAAACACCCAAACCCACCACCTTCCCACCCCTGTAGAACCACCCAGAACCGCCTCTATTCGCCGTCGACACAACCCATACGAAAAACCCACCAAAATCCCTAAAATTTCCGAACTTTACAAAAACCCAACTAAATTTAGAGCAAAAAAGGACGACCTAGCTGAGAAAATAGCTAGATCACGCAAAAAGCAGATGAATGAACCCTTGAAGCGAAATCAATCAGCTCGACGAACGCGAAAAGCAGATCAATGAACCCTTGAAGCAAAATCAATCAACTCGACGAACCCTCAACGAACCCTTCTGCTATTTTATTTGTTGGAATTATTGCCTTTCTAATTTTTTTTTTTCTGAAAATCTAGACTAACAGGTTTTTCTTGGTTGACTTGATGGATTAATGTTAAAGCTTGAAACTTTCACACTTCCCATTTGAATTAATGTAAGAATTGGTAAAATATAGATTATTTTATTAAAAAAAATACTAATATTTTATTACCTATTGCTAGGGCTATTCAATGTAGGGGTGAAAATGCAAAAGGTAATTACTGTTCATTAAAAATAGTTACTGTTCACTAAGTGAATTCAATAGTAAATAACTCTAGGGAACATTTGCAACGCTGAAGTTGCTCAGTAGCTATCATGTTTGCTCTGATGGGAATGCATGAAGCCTTGGATCTGTAGATCAATCAGATGGAAAACCAATTGTAATCTTTTTCTTTTTTGGCAAAGTTGGTGTGCAGAATTAAGTCCTTTGACTATCGCGCCCGCTTCAATCATCTGATGTAGAACGCTCCTTTCATGTCCGCTAGGCTACATTAATTATACCATCAATTGAAGAGATTTTTTAGTGTGTCAAAAGTACGGTTCTGTACATTAGGTGTAATAATACAATTAGTTAAAAACTTGAAAATTATAATATAATTAGTTGAAAATTTAAAGGTTTTGAACCAATTATATTATTACACTTGTTGTACCAAACTGTGACAAATTCTCCCATCAATTGGTCATTTCTGCATGCGCATACTTTTTTGAAAGTTTATTAAACGTGGGCTGTTAATAAATCTATTCTAATTAGAATTTGTTATATATAATAGTAATAAAAGTTTACACTTGTCGTGGTCTCGACGATGAAATGTTTAATTAAAATCAGTGTCATGGTTTGGTTTACTAAAGGAAGGTTTTTATATACACACTCCTCTTGTTTTCTCGGCTGCTGGATTGAACTAACTATCAAAAGAGAATAAAAGGTTAGAATTAAAAAGAAGTATGTAGGAGGTGAAATAGAGTGAGTTGAAATCACTTCTATAATTTCATCACGAATAATGTTAAAGAAACTAAATTTGTAGACAAATTTGCAAACTAAATGATGTGTCACTAATAAAAAAATAAGTACGTTTATCAATACTTAAATAATAATTTAATCATTAACTTTCAAATCATTACCCTTTCATCGTATAGGTTTTAGTACTCTGTCAAAGACATTATTTAACTGAAAAAAGGTACTGCACAAAAGTTGTACTCTTATCCCCATAATTAGCGTTTGTAATATGGGCCATATTTCCCTGAATTTACGTGTTATCATGAGGAGGGATATACAAATGCTAGGGTTTATACGAAGAGTTGTATTATTTTTCATTTTTCTTCTAATTAGTTGGTAGGTTAGGTCCAGAGTAATTCCTACAATTGCATCTACTCTAGGGTTTCGGCTTCATACATCTGTAGTGGAACTGTGTGGATAAATCTACTGATAAATTAGGCCTCTCAATCAATTGCTTTCATTGTCCATCAACTTTGTTAATTATATTATACTAATCAAACTAATTGCCCGACCATTTATCACACAAAACAACAATCTCTGATGAAAAGTTTCCATTTTTTGGACGGAATAAAACCAACATTCTATAATGTAACTCTCAATGCTGTAGCAGATAGCAGCAGGTATATAAATGATCACTAAACACCAAACGTTAATCTTCACCACAAAACAAGGATGGGCATGCAACACTGCTACCCAGCCACGCAATGTTAGTGCATATATGAAAGACCTAGAGCTGTAGAGAAACTCATTGATTCTTAATTTGTTATTCTTCTGTAATTGTATTTAGGGAGACATTGGATGTAGTTCTTAAGTACTAATGTTCTTTAGATAAAACTTTATTGATTTTCAGTTCTTAATCAAAGTCCTTTGAATTGGTACACCTTAGCATTTTAATAGTACTATTATTGTCAATACCTTTTCCAACAAACCATCAATTTTTTTTTTTTTTGAGAAACTGGATCCGATTAAAACCAGGGCAAAGATGCCAAAGGAACAACAGAAGCCTACCCAGAGGCAAACAACAGAGGAACCCGGGTAATGCAAGGGGTTGAAGGAATCTGACGCAACCAACAAACAACAAGCGTCACCCCTCCCATTACCACAGCTAACTCAGGGAGGACAAGGAAGTCATTACATAATACATGAACCAAAGAAGAACAAACCATAACTTGATTGGAAGGAAAAAAAAATAGCCCAATAGCTGCGAGCCGTTCTCTCCGCTGTGAGAGCCACTCCTCTGTGAGTGTTTCCTTTCTCTCCGTTGTAGGATCTCATCTTTATTGCGGCCGGTGGGAGTTTGCAAGTTGTCCTACCTTTTATCGCTAATATTGATGGGGAGGAATATTGATGATGCCAACCCTAGATCTCAATAGTGGAATGTACATGTAAAGCTCTGATCTTGGGGGTAAAGCTTTGAATTGCTGATCCGTCTGATTGGGGGGATTAATTCCTCTACCCAATCCATCTTTCATTGTTATTTGGCGAGCAATACCCATCTCACCTACCAAGCAGTTTCGAGATTTATGATAAAGGGCAAGGAGATCCGACAGGTTGGGGGACATTAAATCCTCTACCCAATCCTTCTTTCTTTGTTCGGCGAGCTCTAATTATCTCACCTACCAAGCAGTTTCGAGCTTTATGACGAAGGGCACAGAGGTAAGGTATTTCCCACCCCCAATTTTATGGGTATTATTGGCGTTTATAACTCAGGAAATTTGGGGAGGAGAAAACAAAACAGGAAGGCATCTAAGGAGGGCCCAAACGACCTTTCGTTATCTCATATTTGTTAAAATTATCAACGGAACCTGCTATTGGGAGGAATTCATGGCTAACCAGGATGTAGATGACTTGGTGGTCCACCTTGAAAAAGGCATGGACTTGTCGACCATGGAACAGGGGATTGCGTTGGTTGGAGCGGCTTTGGTTAACAAAAATCTAAATAAGTGGGGTGTACGAAATATACTTAGATCCTCTTGGAAAGATCTTGGAGAGGTGGATATCAAATGGGTCAAGGACAATCTGTACATCATTACCGTCCAAGATGAAAGCACAACGGGAAAGATTCTTAGTCAGGTACCCTGGGCTGTAATGAAACAGAACTTTTCAATCAAAAGATGGCCAAAGGAGATGGCGCTGGAGGAAATTGAGGTGGCGAAGGTTCCTTTTTGGGTTCAGATCCGAGGGGTCCCCCCTTGTCTCATATCAGTGGCAAACGTCCAACGTCTTGCGAAGGAAATCGGTGAATTTGTGGAGGTAGAGAATCTGGCCAAGGCTCGGGGTTTCTTAAGAGTGAGAATCATTGTCAACACACAAGAGTCCCTGATTACAGGCTGCTGGTTGCCAAGGGATGAGGATAAGGATACCTGGGTAGAGTTTCGTTATGAACGGTTGCAGGATTTCTACTATAGGTGCCGTCGAATTGGACATAATATGAATGAATGTTCCTATGAACAGTCTAAAGGAGGGGCTGCAGGCTTTGGTGAGTGGACCAAGGCG